CGGTTCACGGCATTCTTTTTTCTCAATCGATAGAAGCTTAATTGCAATACATTATCAAAATTGAAATTACCTAGACAAACTATATATTTGATATTGTGCTCTGGTTTATTGATTAAGAGAACTTGCAAGGATCTCATGGATTTATAAACTATAATCGAATCTATTAAAAGAAAAATATTCATAAATGAAAGTTTACTAGGAGCAAAAAAAAACATTTCATACATAAGATACTGCTTTACTGATATATATACCAGTAACAGATTATTTGTAGTTAGTCTCATGTAATAATAGCTAACTTCATGCAACACACAAGACATGCTCGTTCCCTCTATGTCACCGATTATTCCCTCACAATCTTGATTTTTCTTAGAAACCAAATAATCTCCTACAATGATCGTCTTAAAGAGAAGCTCAAATCAGTTACCGAAATTGTAGCCGTCGAACATAAACTCGTTTGGATCATACGGCAAACTTGGATAAATCAACTCAAGATCCGTAAAATCGATGCCATTATAAGTTTGTTCAGGTTCATTCTTTCTGATCATGTAATTCTCATGATTGAAAGGCTGATATTTTCGTTGTTGCTGCTGCTGCTGGAGATGGTGGTCATGGTTCAAGAAGGGAAACCCAGGCATATTATTGGTCACGAACTGGTTGTTGTTCATTGCTAAGTAACCATTTTGATATTGATGTCCTGGATCGGGTAAACAGGTGGGCCATTCATAAGGGATGATGGTGCAAAGAAACCATTTTTCAGACATAAGAAAGTTGAGGGTTTACAGACACTAGACCAACTAGTTTCTGGGTACTGTTGAGGAATTGGGTTCTCCTCAATAGTTTGACGATATTTCTGCACGACAACACAATTGATGTAGAATTTTTGTTATTCATATTTGCAGAATCATAGTTTAATTGTCACAATAAACAATATATAATAGTTTTTGTTTTAACCTGAAGATGACTGGACACATTGTTTAGAGTGAGTCCTTCGATTTTCATATCTTGCAAGCATTTGAGAAGTCCCTTTGGGGTAGCTTCTGTATATGCATTAAAAAAATGATTATTAAATAAAAGAAAAATAATAAATAAATTGAATAATTAGAAATTTTAGAATAATTAGATTACTTTTAGGCCCACCAAGTATAACGATGGCATCGAGAAATTTCTGTTGAAGATCTCCAGTCCACGACATCCGCGGTTTCTTGAAAGATGTATTTTTTTTCTTATTGATGCTTTGTTCAAAGTTGTCTTTGCTTACAACCCTTGAATTATCGTCATCTTGTTCTGAACCACTACTCTTAACCGTCATTTTTCGTTTCTTTGTTGTTTTCTCTTCTATCTTATTGATGTTCTGCTCACTACGGTCTTGGTCTATGGTCACTGAATCATCTTTGTCTTGCTTTGAACAGTCATCATGTACCACAACTGGTGGAAATAAACCAGGTTTAGACATCACCCTCTTGTGTATAATGTGATGCCATATGGTGGCAATGATCTCTTTCCTAACCGGTTTCATAACATAGTGGCATGCACCATGTTGAATTGCGTCCACCACCGATTTGGTTTGATGGTCATTAGACATAACTAAACAAAGTTGAAATAAAGTATTAGATTTTCTCAAATTAAGAGAAATTTAGTTTATAATAGGTTGAAAAGTAAAAATTAATGCACGATTTACATACTCACTACAGGAAGAGCCATCTTTGAACCAATAATTTCAAGAGCTTGCAGTCCATTAATTCCAGGCATGTGATAATCCCATATCACAATATTAATATCATGTTTACAGTTTGTCAGAAACGAGATAGCTTCTTCTGCGTCCGTATAAGTTGTCACTGGATAACGAAAAAAGAAGTATAAATCCTAAACCCTAACTTTAGCAATTCTTTATTAAATCAAACAAATTATACATATATACAAGAAGACAATTACCTTGATAAGTGTAATGTTTCATGACTTCTTTCATATTACGTAAAGTGATGAGATCCGGGTCGACAACAAGAACATTAGTACTCTGCAGAAATTCATTGAGAGGAGAGTTGACTTCCAAAGTTGTTGGGGTCAAAATCCGTACGACGGAATTAATAGCCAAAACTCCCCGCGAAAATACAAAAAGAACAGTTTTATAAAACCCGAGGAATAGTTTTATAAAACTCGAAAGATCGTTTTATAAAACTCGAGAATCGTTTTATAAAACTCGAGAATCGTTTTATAAGACTCGAGAATCGTTTTATAAAACTTGAGAAATTGTTTTATAAAACTCGAGAATCGTTTTATAAAACTCGAGAATCGTTTTATAAAACTCGAGAATCGTTTTATAAAACTCGAAAATCGTTTTATGAAGCTCGAGAAATCGTTTTATAAAACTCGAGAAAATCGTTTTATAAAACTCGAGAATCGTTTTATAAAACTCGAGAATCATTTTATAAAACTCGAAAGATCGTTTTATAAAACTCGAAGATCGTTTTATAAACTCGAGAATCGTTTTATAAAACTCGAGAATCGTTTTATAAAACTCGAGAATCGTTTTATAAAACTCGAGAGTTGTTTTATAAAACTCGAGAAATCGTTTTATAAAACTCGAGAAATCGTTTTATAAAGCTCGAGGATCGTTTTATAAAACTCGAGAAATCGTTTTATAAAACTCGAGAATCGTTTTATAAAACTCGAGAATCGTTTTATAAAACTCGAGAAATCGTTTTATAAAACTCGAGAAATCGTTTTATAAAGCTCGAGGATCGTTTTATAAAACTAGAGAAATCGTTTTATAAAACTCGAAGATCAATTTATAAGACTCGAGAAATCGTTTTATAAAACTCGAAGATCGTTTTATAAAACTCAAAGAAATAATTTATAAAACTCGAAAGATCTAAAACTCGAAGATCGTTTTATAAAACTCGAAAGATCGTTTTATAAAATTCGAAGATCGTTTTATAAAACTCGAAGATCGTTTTATAAAAATCGAGAATCGTTTTACAAAACCGCAAAAAACCGAAAAAGCCGTAAAACGCAAACAAGTCGCAACTAGTTCGCCCATCGGCGAAATAAGCCGGACTCGGCTTAGTTCGCCGATGGGCGAACTAAGAAGCACTCTCTAGTTCGCCCATCGGCGAACTAAGACGGGCCCGACTTAGTTCGCCGATTGCCGAATTAAGAGACACTCTCTAGTTCGCCCATCGGCGAACTAAGCCGGGCCCGGCTTAGTTCGCTGATGGGCGAACTAGTTGATCACTTCCGATAAAAACCGTAAAACTTCGTTTTCTCTGAAAGAACTCGAGGAAATCTTATAAAACGGCAACGGTTAAACGAAACACCAAACATTGCCTAAACTATACGGTTTATTCGAGATTTCTCGTTAAAATCATAAAAAACGCCGAGTAAGTCGTAAAAAACGTGTTTTTAATAAAAAGTCGAGTAAATCGTAAAACTTTGCGATTAACTCGAGAAATTTATTAAAAATGACGTCAGATCAGGAAACGATCCCGTAAAAGTCGGAAAACGGTTTTATCGCAAAACGGCCCGGAAGGACCTAAAACGCGATAAAAACCCATCTCGCAATTTCAACGGAATCTAACCCGCAGATTTGATAACGTTTGACGGTTTACTCGCAGAAGGAAAATAAAAGTCAAGCTTAAAGATAAAAGGAAGGTTTGAAGAGAAATAGAAGATTTCCGCGGAAGAAAAGGAAGGATCGAGAAGAATGGAAAATTCCCGATTTAGTCAAATCTGGGCGAAATGGAAAGATCGGATAGCCAAGACGAGGAGTATATAAAGAGGAGGTCTAGGGCAGAAGAACACACAAAATTCAGTGCTCTCACCACCAAAACTAGCATTTAGGAATCTTTCCGTTTTTCTGTTAGCGAGCTGCGTCTCAATTAGGGTTTTCGTTCTTAAGCTTTTTCGGCTACTCTTTTGTACCAGTTCTACGCAGATTCGGAATAAGAACCTCTTTGCTCTCTATTTCGTTTATTTTCATTCAAATTCTAAGTTATCGTTTTCTTATTATTCGTTGTGCGGTTCTCGCAGATAGCCGGTTCCTCTGGAAANCAATTAGGGTTTTCGTTCTTAAGCTTTTTCGGCTACTCTTTTGTACCAGTTCTACGCAGATTCGGAATAAGAACCTCTTTGCTCTCTATTTCGTTTATTTTCATTCAAATTCTAAGTTATCGTTTTCTTATTATTCGTTGTGCGGTTCTCGCAGATAGCCGGTTCCTCTGGAAACTTAGGGTTTTCCCGAAGTTTCCTTTTTTACGATTTATTTGACAGGGGGGTCGGATCTATCTTACACCGTAGCCGCAACATGTCCAACGAAGAAACGATGGCTGGTGACAACCAAACTCGCGACGAACGCGACAACGTTGAAACACCACTACCAAAAGACGCGCCTGCGGCCAACGCTACGAACGCTAACACCGAGACCATCGAAAAGATTCTTTCCGAGTTTAACAAAAAATCGGAAGAGCAGGAAAAGCTCATTGGTTCGCTCGCAAAACGGCTCGAAACCCTAACCGCGAGAACCAATGCGATTCGCCCCCGCGGAACTACCAAGATCCGCGGAAGGAGACTCGATTTCGGCGTTCCTACGGATCGTCCCAGAATCGATCAGGGAAACGTACCGGAAAAGGATTCCGGAAAAGAAAACCCTGACACGACGCTGAACGAATCGGAAAAATCTCCTATTCGCGAACAGGAGACTGAAGGCGACGGCATCGAAAGGGTCAACTTGGAAACGAGCGACCAGGCCGACTCGACAGACGAAGACGCCGACGTCCATCCTAGGAGAAGGAAAGCTCGCAGTCCTCGACCGGAGTCTTCTCCCGAACGTTCCTTTACTGGAGGCGAAGGGGAACTCGAATTCGCGCGATATGCAAAAACCGCCAAGGAGCAATCTCCGGTAACTCGCAGCAAACGCCGACGAGGTCGGAAAACTGCTGGCGATCAAACCGAGATTCGCGATCTCCGCGAATACATTACCAAAACGGCCGCAGCGGTAATCCCAGATTCATCATGCGACCAGCGCCGCACCCGAGATCGATCGGCTGCTATACGAATCTCGGAAAACGCCTTTCTCGGCCCGTATCACCGAGATTAAACTGCCCGATCCCGGAAAGCTTAAGGTGCCAACTTACGACGGGACGTCCGATCCCAAAGCGCACCTGCAAGCGTTCCAGATCACCATGGGACGAGCCAAGCTCAAGGACCACGAAAAAGACGCAGGTTACTGCCGCCACTTCGTCGAAAACCTAGAAGGAGCCGCGCTCAAATGGTTCGCCAAACTTAGGCGAAACTCGATCGGAAGTTTCCGTCGGCTGGCTTCGGAGTTCCTGAAACAATACTCGATGTTCATTAACCCAGAAACCTCCGACGCCGATCTCTGGAGCTTGGTACACGAGGAAGACGAATCTTTCTGCGATTTCATGAGTAGATTCAAACTCGTCATGGCTAGGGTTAGCGGGATTAGCGACAAAGCCGCCATCGACGCATTAAGGAAATCGCTCTGGTATAAATCGAAGTTCCGCAAATGGATAACTCTCGAGAAACCGCGGACGATCCAGGATGCGCTCCATAAGGCCACCGACTTCATAACCATCGAAGAGGAAACTAAAATCATGTCTGAGAAGCATAAGCCGGCGAAAACATCCGCGAAGGATAACGCGTCCGAGCAGAAGCAGAAAAAGAAAATCTCTCGTAACGACAAATTCGTCCATCACGAGGGACAGGATATCCGAGGGGCGCATAACTACGCTGTCAACTCCGGTTCGGAGCAAGGGCGAACTACGGGTAACACATGGACGAGAAATTTGAATTACGATGAGAATTCGTTCTGCGACCTCCACCAAACCCATGGTCATTCCACCGTGAACTGTAAAGTTCTCGGCGCCAGACTGGCCGCAAAGTTAGTCGCGGGAGAACTTTCCGAGATATCTAGTGTCAAGGATCTCATCCGCGATTCGGACCGCGTCCCGAAGAATGACAAAAATGCGCAAACTCCGCCTCAGGGAAATCAGTCGGGCGAAAAACGCGGACGAAGAGCAGACGAGAAGGGTAACGATGCTAACCGCCGAAAAATCAACATGATCATCAGCGAATCGCCATACTTTAACGACACCGTCTCGTCGATAAAATCCTACCAACGTAAAGCCGAAACCGGCTCGAGTTGGAAGGTACCGATGGACAATTCTCCGACAGGAGTAATCTCTTTCAACGATGCTGAAACCGGTGGAATCGACCAACCGCATGCCGATCCCCTTGTCATCGATTTGGTGATAAGCGATCTAGAGGTTGCTCGAATCCTGGTTGATACCGGAAGCACGGTCAACGTCATCTTCCGCAACACGCTAGCACGAATGGGAATCGACCTCTCGGNAATCGACCAACCGCATGCCGATCCCCTTGTCATCGATTTGGTGATAAGCGATCTAGAGGTTGCTCGAATCCTGGTTGATACCGGAAGCACGGTCAACGTCATCTTCCGCAACACGCTAGCACGAATGGGAATCGACCTCTCGGAAGTCGAGCCGATTCCAAAACCGCTGACTAGTTTCTCCGGCGAAACGTCAATGACCTTGGGATCAATCCGACTA